CACTTATATAGTGCTCTCCAGGCACAAACATCACCAGGGATACAAACTTACAGAGACGCTCCGTTTCCAGCGCCACGAACACCTCGTGAACACCAGATAGCAGCGTGAGTCAGTGTCGCTCCTGGACGGTGAGACAGACGTCGAGGACCGTCCAGGAGCCGTCCAGGAGCGACACTGACTCACGCTGCTATCTGGTGTTCACGAGGTGTTTGTCGCGCTGGAAACGGAGCGTCTATGTAAGTTTGTATCCCTGATGATGTTTGTGCCTGGAGAGCACTATATAAGTAGTGCTCTTCAGGCACAATCTTCCTCAGCCTACTCAAGCTCAACTGATGAGGGGTGAATTCCCCGAAACACCGTGTATTAAAGCAGGGAGTGGTGCTTTCTTGCAGGCTTGCCGAGTCGAAGGTTCGATGGACTTCTCGTGTGCTCTGGATGGCAGTCGTGAGTCAGTCAAGTGTCAAGTAAAGCCGGCGGAAGAGCGCGAGCTCCGCTGTGGGGAGCAAACCATTTCTTATTATTATTAAATTTAGAATATGGCAGTCCCATCGACCGATCGCGTGCATCATTTAGGGCATTCGATTGGTGACATGAAAAAGAAAAGAAATTATAGGAATAAAAACTGCTTTATGGCAGCTTTCTAAAAAATGTTTTTGTGTTTCAGTCCTGGGCCCTTTTAAAATTGCTTCCAAATTGCCGTGGGACTCCGTCTAAAAAGTAAGAAATTAACAAAATGTGATTTGATAACCGCAATCAATAAAACCAGCTGAACTGACATTGGTGTACTTTATTCATGCAATGTAAAAACGGGGAGCGCGAGCTCCGGTGTGGGGAGCAAACCATTTCTTATTATTATTAAATTTAGAATATGGCAGTCCCATCGACCGATCGCGTGCATCATTTAGGGCATTCGATTGGTGACATGAAAAAGAAAAGAAATTATAGGAATAAAAACTGCTTTATGGCAGCTTTCTAAAAAATGTTTTTGTGTTTCAGTCCTGGGCCCTTTTAAAATTGCTTCCAAATTGCCGTGGGACTCCGTCTAAAAAGTAAGAAATTAACAAAATGTGATTTGATAACCGCAATCAATAAAACCAGCTGAACTGACATTGGTGTACTTTATTCATGCAATGTAAAAACGGTGGAGACTATGTGCAATAAAACGATGAAAATATGAAGAAATGGTGTAGGGAAAAATATGGATCCAAACAAGTTTTCGTACAACACTCATCAGGAATCGTCGTTGTACTAAAGGACACTGAAACATAAATTGAACTATTATAGAAAATCTAAGTTAGAGAAATAACACTGAGAGCAACAGCAGTGAAATTTATTAGGTGTACAGAAAGATAGTATAATTGGGTTGAAATTGTTCAAGTAACGTGTCGTGTTAGAGAAATAACACTGAGAGCAACAGCAGTGAAATTTATTAGGTGTACAGAAAGATAGTATAATTGGGTTGAAATTGTTCAAGTAACGTGTCGTGTTAGAGAAATAACACTGAGAGCAACAGCAGTGAAATTTATTAGGTGTACAGAAAGATAGTATAATTGGGTTGAAATTGTTCAAGTAACGTGTCGTGTTTAGTGCGGCCAAGCTTGGCCGTTCACGTTCTACGTGTAATGTACTGCTGTTATGTGTTATCACGTTGTATTTCCTTCCTTTCTCCTTTGTTCCTTTCTCGCTTTGATTGGTACAATTTACACTTGTAAATTTCACTGCTGTTGCTCTTAGTGTTAGATTTATTAGATTTCTATAGGAACGACGATTCCTGATGAGTGTCGTACGAAAATTGTTTGAATCCATATTTTTCCCTACACCATTTCTTCATATTTTCATCGTTTTATTGCACATCGTCTCCACCGTTTCTACATTTTATGAATAAAGTACACAAATGTCGGTTCAGCTAGTTATATTGATTGTGGTTATCAAATTATTGTCTCCTCGCCGTGTGTTTAAAATGTTATTGTCGAATATTACAATGCACACAAAACCTCACAATAATCACACACAGGAAGAAAAGCGAGAAGACCGTTTCCCCTCGTGATCCTCTTTCCCATGCATGCATGTTGGTGCAGTACAAGTACAAGAGAAAACAAGTGTTGAAAGCAGTATTTTATTATCAAGGGTTGTGATTATTGTGAGGTTTTGTGTGAAATTTTAATATTCGGCAATCACATTTCGTTAATTTCTTAATTTTTAGACGGAGTTCCAAGGCAGTTGGAAGCAATTTATAAAGAACCCAGGACTAAAACACAATAACGTTTTTTAGAAAGCTGCCATGAAGCAGTTTTTATTGCTAGAATAATAATGTGATGTGGTGTGATGTAGATTCATAGTGTGTAGGAGCTAGGTGTCAGGTCATTGAATGTTTCAATATCCTTGTAAGCTTGGAGCCTTGTTGTCGAACTTTCTGACTGTATAATATTACTTCGTCATCTTAGGGACTGTTAGTGATAATTATTGACTCATAGGTCCTTATTCCTTTACATTTTCCTACTATTGTTCTTCACATTGCATTTCATCACAGGTTTTTCTTTGTGCATCATCACCCACTCTCGAAATTGTTCGCGATAACTGAATAAAACTCTGGTGAAGTAATGCTTCGACTGGTTCTGCTTATTGCAATCCTTAAACTGTTGTCACCTCTTCGCCTTTTTGCATAGGGCTTTCTTAGCAAGTTGGAGTCCACATGCCACGTACTGCTCTTTTCTCTCCGAAACTTAACAATTGCAAGCCAGATATGAAAGAAAGAAAAAAATCATCAGTCACACCACCGGGACTCGAACCAAGGACCTTGCTATTCGCGAGCAATGCTCTAACCCACTGAGCTACAGTAGGACACTTATTCTCAGTGATGGTAATTCTAACACTTTGAAATTCTCCGTGCAGTCCAAATTTGAAATTGCAATTTGTATTTGCTCGGAGTGGACATAGTTAGATGCAATCGCCATGATATCAAGCGAATGGCCGAGGGCCCTCTTAATTGGTGTGAGTTGCCAGTGTGAAGCCAGATATTGATTGATCGAAGAAGGATATTTACCATCACTGTGGATAAGAGTCATATTGTAGCTCAGTTCTTTAGAGCATTGCTCGCGAATAGCAAGGTCCCTGTTTCGAGTCCCGGTGGTGTGAGTGATCTTTTTTTCTTTCTTTCATATCTGGCTTGCAGGTGTTGAGTTTTTTCTTTCTTTCATATCTGGCTTGCAAGTGTTGAGTTTTTTCTTTCTTTCATATCTGGCTTGCAAGTGTTGAGTTTTTTCTTTCTTTCATATCTGGCTTGCAAGTGTTGAGTTTTTTCTTTCTTTCATATCTGGCTTGCAAGTGTTGAGTCTTTTCTTTCTTTCATATCTTGCTTGCAAGTGTTGAGTTTTTTCTTTCTTTCATATCTGGCTTGCAAGTGTTGAGTTTTTCTTTCTTTCATATCTGGCTTGCAAGTGTTGAGTTTCGGAGAGAAAAGAGCAGTACGTGGCAGGTGGCCTCTAATTTCCTAGCACTTTGAACTTCCCCGTGAAGTCCAATTTTGAAATGGCTCTATTAGCAGTTCTGTATAATATTTCCGTTAGTGTTTCCCGACTTTCCTCAACGCTGTATTCGCATGTAATGTTACTGTGATCGATTGTCGTTGTTGAGCATGAGCTAATAATGACATGATGTTGGTAACAGTAACGTTCTATCGTGCATGCACTGTACATGAGGTCAGCGTTGTTATACTTACCAGCTAAAAATAGAGTGATACGCATGGCAGTAGAGAAAGAGTAGGAGATACTATCAAATCGCATATCCGGCCATAAGTGAATGCTGAGCATTTTAATTGAAGAGTTTGATGAGCCTTCTGTGGGCATAATGCAACATTGGATGGAATTCTCACTTCGATACAAGCATGCACAATAGTTAAAAAAAATAGTACCCGATAAAACATACATACTCGCATCCTTGGATTGCTTATCATGTTCACGTCAAACATTCATTATCTGCAGCTGTATCTGATGCATTTAGAATAGGGGACATGGTTTGTTCAAAAACTCTCTCACCTGTCAGTAGATGCACATGAACACCAGCTGCATGAAGCTCCATAATTCATGATTCTTTCTGCATTGTTGTCTGATGGTGCTGAATTTAGTGTTTGAGCGGTAGTTACCAATGACTTGTATGGGAACAACTGAACAGGAATTGGAATTATCTGTCATGTGGTTTCACAGCTGGCTGTTCTAGTCTATTTCTAGATTTGAAAATGTCGAGTTCCAGACCTACTGTCAATGGTTAGTATATGCCAGTAGACACGATCCAGGTTTGCGTAAGATCTAGCAACATTACGTCGCTGCAACACAACACGAAAATGTGAATATTTATGCCCATGTGCGGACAGCCAAGTCGTTCGTCAATATACGAGCTCATAAGGTGATCTCAGTGGAGTGGAGTGACCTAAGGCTAAGGATCATGAACATCTGACTAGTGTATTTATAATATATAGGCGTCCCTGTGGCTAGTGATCTACCATTCAGAGTTTTGATACATTAGGGGCACTACTGTTCGCCAGAGCAGACTTGATCGCCAATGTGACTGTTGCCATGACTGGGTAATCAGCACGAGAGCCAAGTTGAGCTACTCAAATCAGTCAAGTGATGTACAAGCCAAGTGATGTATACTATTCCTTTTCACATGGATTATACATACTACACAAAGGTAGAACAACTAGGTTTGATTATGCATACAATCATGTACACTCGAGTACACCCGAGTACACCAGTAGTGCTGGACAGCTTTCAAACTCATTCTATAGTAATAGTATCTCCACAGAAGATTGGCGGCTGCCCGTGCCTCGCAAAAAACTGTCAGGCAGCAGCTTAGTGGACTCCGGTGGTGTCAGTGACAGATGGAATCCAGTTGCCAACCAGCTGACATGAGCATACACTGTACTCAGGTAGACTTTGACTGGCGTTCGATGTGTTTGCAAAGTCGCCCGACTGTTTCTGGAGTCCTAGGAAAGGAATGCCCTGCCTTACAATGAAATTTAGCAAGACCCGGTTTCTGTATTGGCTTACAGCTGCTTGTATTCAGTATTAGCTTTGTTGTGTACACGTATAAAGCGTATAGAATGGAGTGGAGACGCAATGCCATTAGCGTGAATACGGGTTTTAGAGGTGAGTCGCCAATTCCTGTGGGTGCGATTGGATGTTTTGTTGGATGCCGCTGCACAACTGAGGGGCATGGAGTGGGGAGGTGGACAACACATTGTGATAACTCACCTATCCTGGCCTTACCATAAGCTGTTATAGGACATATTTATGAGATGATATATGCCGCAGGATATGTGACAGCATTATGAGCATGCATACCTGCATGTACATTAGGTATAGAGACAGACTTGTTTTGGAGAAATGGAAAAATGATGATACCGGTATTTACTCGCACATCATTGTAAAAAAAATGATACACGAACATGTCGATGTCAGAGGAACTCAACATGCCTCCCTTTGTCGACTCATCAGAGCATCGCATAGACAATAAGTCCAAACCTGATTTACAATGACATTTGCTATTTGCTACAGTGTTTTCAAAGCCAGATATAAATTTGGTCTGAATCTAATTTGCTTATGTGCTCAAACTGACAAACCCGTCAGTTCTGCGTTTCATAAGAACAAGATGTTTCGGCATTTAATTAGCACTGATCACCTATACACAGACACAGGTAGATATCCTGAACCACGCCCCGAAAACACTTTTTCATTTTGATAATGCCGACCTAGATGTAGTTCTTCCTAGACGCTGTGTGTCTTTCCCACCTGCTCATTCTCTATATAAATATGTACCGGCATTCACAGTTCGCGTTCACGTGAAGACAACGCAGATAGTATGGAATACTTGATAATCCTAGTGACTGTTGAATGTTCTTCTTTTCGGTTTATTCACTCTGCAGCTTGCTGGCTAATGGCAGTCTACATGTATATCCTGTTGGAGATCGAAGTTGTGAAAGGTATTAAACTTGGTTAAAAGGTGGAATTTCCTTAACAAATACTAGTTAGCCCCATCCCTCAGAAAAAACAAGTCAACAAAGAGGCCTCCTTGGATTGAGGGGTGCTGGTTTCGAAACAACTGGTTTGAAGCTCAAAGTAGAGCTGGTGTTAGCTCAGAGCAGAGCTAGTGTTAGCTCAGAGCAGAGCTGGTGTTAGCTCAAAGTAGAGCTGTGGTTAGCTCAAAGTAAAGCTGCGGTTAGCTCAAAGTAGAGCTGCTGTTAGCTCAAAGTAGAGTTGCTGTTAGCTCAAGGTAGAGCTGCTGTTAGCTCAAAGTAGAGCTGCGGTTAGCTCAAAGTAGAGCTGCTGTTAGGTCAACGTAGAGCTGCAATGCTAAATGGATGTAATATAGCGCAAGGCAGGGCCGCAGCAAATAGCTAGATAACACCAGTTGTGAGAGTGGACCCGATTAGTGGGTACGATAATTATAATGATGGTGTGAATAAGTTGGATAGGCAGGGATGGTGGGAAAAGAAACAATGCTGAAGCACGATCCGTTGTCTGGAAGAGCACAACATCGAAGTATGTATCCTGTTGGAGATCCAAGTTGTGAAAGGTATTAAACTTGGTTAAAAGGTGGAATCTCCAATATAAATACTAGTATAAAAAACATATGACTTGTTTAATTAAAATGACTATTTTATTAACAAAAAGAGCACCCAAATCCGGTTCTTTTAAGAACCTCAACTAGATGATAAAATAGCGCACAGTACCGTGGAAGAATAGCTCAAAATATCTACAAAAAACGCATGACCTTTGCAGATAGTATGTAAGGTGCTCAACTGTGTGGATCACACACTCCTAGGCTCTGACCTATTTAATTTTGACTGTTGCTTTGGAGACGAGGTTCTCGCCTGGTTAAGGACCTACTTGGCTGACCGAGCCCAGGGAGTCGACACGCCCTGGTTTCTTCCAGGTGAGCCACACCAATGCACCCGCGGCGTCCCACAAGGGCCTGTCCTTGGACCACTATTATTTACGATCTACATCCTCTGCCTGCCCCACCAATGTAACCATGGATAAAAGGAAGGAAAATAATGTTGCGAGTTATGACTAATTGTCTACCAATGTAACGAGATCACATTCAGTCAGCCAATGCAACAGCATGGCAACATGTCACCATGGCTGGCCAGTACACTATAATTTTCCGGGTCAACTTTCGCTACTGTTGCAGTCCTTGATGATTTGTTGTTGTGGACCAGTTATTCTTTCTTGTCATGTTGGGCTGGAGTCAGCAGGTGAAGTTTTTTCGCGGCTAAATGAGAGTTTCTACGAGAGCAGGGATTATTGCCACGAGGTCTCAGTGCTGCTAGCATAGCGACAAGGCATAAGAAGACAATCCGTGTGTGCTTTCCTACCGCGCTCATGGATACGGCTACTGCATCGCCATTGGAGAGTTCGAAATTTGATTAAAGTCAGATGGCTAAACGTTACTAGGAAATTTGAATTGCTGTGCGAACATTGTTCGTGTTTCTGGCCTAAATGGTTGTGAGCAGCATTGGCCAGTTGTTCTTATACTTTCTCTCAGTGCGTATTTTAGTCGACGTGTTGATTTTGCACCATATTCAAGGATGAATGAAATCCATTGAAGGAATAATGAAATCCATTCAAGGAATAATTGACATAATAATGTCAATTATTCCTTGAATGGATTTCATTATGGTCGTTACAGACATTGACTCTTTTAAATAAGGAGTTGGGTTTTTAACTTTTAGACGAGCGCTTCTTCCACTTAATTAAACAGAGTTTTTGAAACAGCACACGCAGCGGAAGCTGTTACAGTAGACGAGTCTGAATTGCACGTCAAACCGTGATGATCAGACAAATCGTGGTTCGAAAACATTTTAAAAACCGGATCGCAAGGAGGGAACAGAGAACTAGAAAATCACATCAAAATGTTAGGGGCAGACAATAAGTTAGTGGACCGGGATAGTTCTGGCGGAGTGGAGATGAAAATAGAAAACACAATGGTCGTGCGCTTCAAACATAAGCTCACACGCGCACACGCCATTGGATCATTGGACGCCCATCGCCGGAGGCGATGATAGCGATGCTACACCAAAGCCAAAGGAGCTTGTGCTGGGATTGCACAATTCAACAGCTTGCAAGGCCGAATAATTGACCACCAATATTCAGCGTGTTCTACAGCACACAGCTATGAAATGGCTTTTTCTGGCCAGTGAATCCCTACTTTGTAGTCTTTTCATTTCTTTATCACGCACACACATCACACCACATACTAAGACACGTACTGGCTGTTGGTAACCACCCAGGTGAATGAAAGAAAAGTCAGAAGGAGTCTGAGAAAGAGAAGAAAGATGTGTGTGATCATTATCGTCGGGAATCGAACCCGCAACCTATCGATTATAAATTGCTGCATATACCACTGCACCATATTGGACACACACACACACACATACACACACACACACACACCGTGTATACGGCCGTCGCAAGAGAAGCACTTAAATCTGCAAATGCACTGCATGTGCACCTACAGGTTTTCTCTTTATAACGTTGGCAACGATAGCGGATCTCATTCTGATTAAAACAGATCAAGACAAGCGCCAGATAACTGTCTAATCCACACAACTGGTAAAGCCATGAGAATCGACCCCCCAATGCACACGTGGTCTACATCACACGGAGCACATCGGAATAGGACAGCCAAGACAGTCACCTATGCACACCCTACACTTGCTGGGGTAACCAGCATAGACAGCACGCTGCTTTGATAAAAGCAGACACTAGATGCACTGGTATCTTGAACGGAAATACACGCACACACACACACACACACACACACACACACACACACACACACACACACACACACACACACATACACACACACAAAGAGAACACACAAAGAAACAGGATAAATGTCGAACATCTAAAAAGTGACTTTGTGGAGTTATGGACGTAGAACCTGTTTGCAGGTCAACGGGAATCAAACTTTGAGTTCTGATCGAGTGGAAGGATGGATCAGGATATTTCAAGATTATAGGGCAAAGCAGTGATAGCAGCGTATCATCTTCACCAAAAGTTGTTTTCTGTATTTTCTTCCTTCCCTCACATCGTCTTTCTCCTTAATTTTGAGTCAGCCACTTTTCGAGCAACTAGTGGCTTTAAGAACTTGACTTTTGGAGATGACTGCGGTGTGGGTAGCGCTCGCCTGTTAAGCACAACTCCATGATTGACTCCCGCTGCTACCTGGGCCCTCACGAGATGTTTGTCCCGCTGGACCGTCTCTGTAAGTTTGTACCCCTGCTGATTGTTTCGTTTGAAGAGCAGTATGTAAATGGTGCTTTTTAGGCACAATTCCCCAGCCTAGTCAAGCTCAACTAAAAAGGGACGAATTCCCCGAAACACGGTGTATTGAGCAGGGAGTTGCGCTTTTTTCAGGCTATCCGAGTGGAAAGTGCGACATGCTTCTCGTGTCCCACGGATGGCAGTCATGGGTCAGTCAAGTGTCAAATTCCACAGTAAGCATGTTCCTCGTCGGAGCGACCAAATTCATCACTATTACCGCCGAGGTGCCAACTTCTAAGTTCGTATCGTTGTCGCTCAGACGGGCGAGCGACTAGTTGTTGGAGGTGACATCGTTGTGAATAGCAACTGGCTCTCAGCGTCTGAATTCCTTGATCCCAGTATTTGAAGAGTATCTGATCTGCTAACTATGTTTCTGTGTGTTGATGATGTGAAAATCCCAACGCAGCATCACGTACAATAGAGAAACTATGGTGAGCACATTCGCCTGGTCCTATGTGCAAGGCACAAACTTACGTACTAACTAACAATTTAGGTATGACCTTCCCTGCATCGACTATTAACCCCGAGCAAACAGAGAGAAATGGTGAATAAAGAAGCATTCATTTTCTGAATTTTCCCGCTCAGAAAGTGTGTTTTTGGGAGGGCCTATATTTAACTCCGTTTCGACAGTCAGGTATGGTTTAAGCACCAGTTCTCTGCTTTTGTTTTGTATACAGTATCTTTCATTTCCTTCCCCAGTGATTGTATAGCTGCACATGAAGTATTGTTTTCCCAGTAGAGTGTACCTAGTCCCAGTGTTAGTGATGTATTGAGCTAGTATTGTAACACTGTACTGTTGTGAATGCTCATGTAGGTCAAGTTGTCAGTCTAAGTGCTGCTGGTACAGGACAAACAACAACAGCATTCACAGTGACATTTGGTGATGGACAACCTACAGCCGATGTTACCAGTTACTTACCTGTATGTATTGTGGGCAGTGGATCAGGACCATTCATTCGACTAGAGAAGACTGATGGTAGTCTAGTGTTGGCTGAGACAGGTGCCTTCACAGTATTTGGAAGAGCACCAGTGAACAGCACTGAACATCCTATACTGGACACGTCATACACTGGACTGTACCATTGCAGAACAGTGGATCGCAACTCTTCACAAACATATCAACTCAACATTGTAGGTAAGTACAAACCGACTTCTTCATCCTGTGGAATAATGTCCAGCTTTGACTCTATGCCCTACAGTATGGCTACTGATGCAAGCAAGGTGAAGAGAAATAGAGCAGTGGTTTACTATAAGCCACCCGAGGAAAAGAAAGCCTCCTCCAGGAGCACGAAGTCACGTATGACGCAAGCAATGTAACAGGCGAGTTGTGGCACTCTTGTCATTGTTGCACTAAGGCACCAGGAGTATATTAAAAAACTTCAAGGTTCTAGCCAGAGAAGAGTAAGGGGGCACATCCCTACTAATTATTCGATTTTTTTCATTTCACACCTCGAAAGTGCTACCACAGATCAATTGTTTCGGATGCTCTGCGCACTCGTCAGTTGCATTTTGTGTGACAAGGAAGTAGTGGAACATGGAAAAATGGGTGAAATGTACGTTTCCTCTGCCCCCCCCCCTCCCACCCCTACAATTACATGACATTGTATTTCGTGGCTATAGTCCTGAGCATGCCGTTAAATTACACATCTCCATGCTGAACACAACAGTGACTAGTTTTAGCACTGTACCATTGCAGAACAGTGAATCGCAACTCAACACAGACGTATCAACTCAACATTGTAGGTAAGGACAAACAGGGTTCTTTCTTTCAGATGCATGCAAGTTGAAGAGAAATAGAGGAGCGATTTACTACGAGGCGCTCGAGCAACCCAAAGTCTCCTCCATGAGCACAAAGTTGCATAATGACGCAAGCAATATATCAGACGAGCAGCGGAACTCTTGGTTGCAATAAAACGCAACGAATGTATCATAAAAGCAAGCTGTACACCATTTATCCTTACAGAAGTCTAAAATGAACAGTTTTAGAACTGATTTCCCTCACCTGGGATCATTGTTGCCAATTGCCATTTTCAAATAATATCGTATGTTATGCAAGGATTGCTCGAAATATCCGATTATTCTAAAAACTAGCAACAGGCGCACAACGCAAAGTAGTTCGGCGAAGAGATCTACATTAGAAAGTTTATGCTTCACGTGGTTAAATTTTGAACATGAGGAAAGAACGTGTGTTGAATCGCTTTTTTCACCGTGAGTTGGCCCTCTGTCGCAGTGAAATCTGACGTTGCAACGTGAGATGCTCCATTCTGACCTTGAGGTCTCACGTTCAAAATTGAAAAAAGTGAACCGTAAACTCGTTACAAAACAAGTAGAAGAATGATTGAACAATGAACGTACCCACCAAGGATTAGAGAGAAAAATGTAAACCGAGCAACTAGCAACAATAATTAACTGAAGAGAGAGCCAGATAGTCAGAAACAATGCAGATGACAGCAACTAGCAGCGGTAAGCATAGAAAGTACAATTATGTTTCAACTCGACAACATACATTCGAAACAAGCAGTACATGTGCTTTAAATTCATAGAATAACAACACACCAAAGTCACAAAACTCTCAAAAAAGTACTCTTAAGATGTTTAGGCTCGTTGAGCATTACAGTAATTATTACAGTGCTGTCGGAGGACACATACCATTAGCGTACTAAAACTCAGCTGATGAGGGGTTAGTTCCCCGAAACACTGTGTGTTGAGCAGGAGTGGTACTTTCGTGCACGTTTGATGAGTGGAAGGTTCGAAAGAGTTCTCTGGTACGCTGGATGTTGTCTGTCAAGTAAGGATTCAAGTTCTCATGAAAAGCGTGATCTACCAATTGCTGATATTAAACCACGTGCGGATAATGTGAGCGACATACTACAAATGCCTGGCACCGTTTCCGAAAGTCCTATTCTGTTGATGTCTGTAGAGTATTTCAAATGTATTAGCAATCTTGGTCCTTGTTCGAGTACATAGGGACAGTCCAGCGACAGACATAGTGGTGTGTCCAGATACAAACCATAGGAATGATGTGCTGAATATGTGAGCCACGGGAGATCTTGTTCAATGTATAATATTATAATGCATATGCTCAAGACGTGACTTTTTCATAGACACAAAAATGCAAAGACTGCAATTCGAAGGAACCCTCATTGCAATGACCCCTAGTGACGGCAAGGTTACTTTAGACTAGTCCCTAGACAACAACGGAGAACAGTTAGAACTATCGCCTGGTTATAGAACACAAAGTAAACGGAAGGGTACAGCTTCCTTACAAGTAAGGTGGAACATTTATGTCAACTCAGAGTTTCACAGGTCATCAGGCTATACTTATTCTGGTCTGAAACTGGAATAATGAATTTTTACAAAAATGTATATGCACAGGAAAGTAACTGAAGAATCATTCCGTGAGGAATACAGTGGGAACCACGCATATGCAATCACACCCACTCTCACATGCCATACACACACACGCGCGTGCGCGTGCAATAAGCAGCAACACACAAATACATGTATATACATAAACTTTCTCCAACACCCACACCTACACAATCACGCACAAACGTACACAGTGTCACACCCCCCCCCCCCACACACACATAAATGTACTCGCACACTCATCCTCCCCCCCCCCTCCCACACACACGCGTGTATATGAACAACTTCACGCCGAACACTGGGTGACTCAGACACAGCACATGCACAGTGACACTCATCCATACATATACATGATGACTGCTCACATTCTCGCTGCCGGAGTAGTCACATAGCAGCGAAACTAAATGCATGCTGGCAGAGCATGTCTCTACCGTGCCATATTTGGGTTTGTACGCGTGTGCGTGTGTGTGTGCTTTTGGTATGCATATGCATACGTCCGTGGGCGTGGTGAAGCGTGTGCGTGGATGTGCCGGTGTGTTCGTGTGTGGTGTGCATGAATGAGTATCCTGGGTGCAAAGGTGAGGATTCTGTGGAGGGTACAGTATGTACATGTACTAGTGTGCACGTGTGTGTATTGTGGGAATGGTCGCCTGTAGATTGTGTCTATGAGAGAGAGAGCATGAGTTCAAAGTGGATGCTAGCGTGAATATGAGCAGACGTTGTGTTTCATATGTGTGGATGAGTGTGCGTGTATGGTGCTTGAGTCTCCCAGTGGACAGCGTGAAGTTGTTCAATGTAGATGTGAGTTTGTGTAATTGTATGTGTGTGTGTGTGCGAACGCGCGTGTGCGTGTGTGTGAGGCGGAGTGTTTGCGTATGTGTGATAGCGTGTGCACATGTGTGCATGAGTGTTGGCGTGTGGTCGTGTATTGAAATGAGTGTGGATATAATTATGTTTGTTTGTTGTTGTTATGGCATGCGCGTGTGCATGTATGTATGTATGTGTATGTGCGTGTGCGTCACACACTGTGGGAAAGTGGTAGTGGGTGGGAGAGGATGTATACGCGTGATTCCCGCTGTCTTCCTCGCGCAAAGATTCGTCAGTTACTTTCCTGTGCATTATTGATAGCAGAATTCTTCCCGATGATCACGTAAGCGAGAAACTCTGAGTTCGAAAAGAAAATCTGTTCGAATTTACTGGTAATAACCTCGTAGACTTTTCACTGATCCAGGTGTCTGCCTTCAAAAGTACTTTGTCTCAGAGGGTCATTTTCTAGTCGCCATGGGCTTGATCTCGCCCTCGCACCACCTTTTGTACACGCCATAGGCTGTAACTATTTCCTGCAAACATGCATTCATGCTACAAGAATGGTTTTGCCGTCAATGCACGCCCAGTTCTGCATTGGTATTTTAAGAGAGCCTGTCTGAGAAAACCAGAACATATGTGCAAGTCGATCTCTCAGATTTCGCTCAAAATTTGCAGGTACGTTTGCTTTGGGGTGTAGATCGACACACCAAACCCCGCGCAAATTCTTTTGAAGGGAACCATGAAATTGGCATACCCCTCAATATTGGCCCAATATTGGCACGATTTATGGGTCTACAAACGAGACACGGCACAGCGTACAAGAACAAGAACAAGCTACTAACAAAACGCTATCAAGCCAGCATTACCTCACCTTAGAAGAGTTCTTGAGGCAGCAGCACTTAGCCACGCCAGCATCCGAGAAGACAAGGGCAATCATCCCTTGACGCCACAAATGATCGTCTTGAGATCAGCCAAATTACAAGCGCTGATAAAACAGCCAGGTACGTCCACAATTAGCAAACACTAAACACTGGCAGATAGTAGCACACCTCTTCTAGCGCTGAGGACATGTCCCCGATCATCCTTTTTGGGTTTTCTTGAAATAAACAATTTTGAATTTTTGCGTGTAGGTTTTTGGATTTTACTGCAAGAGGAATGATGAAATCACGTGCCTCGTGACACAAGATTCAAGAATGCCATGCGGTCTCGTAGATTACGGTTCAGCAGTTGTTCAGAGTCACCTTGATCAAGCGCACCTGCACTTACATGGATCACCCGTTAATCTAGATCGGATCAAGTGCATCTTGATGTCCAGCTCAAGAGCACGTTTGTCGTGTTATAGGCCTTCAAGCCGCGACTTTCCCTCAACATGCAGCACAGAGACTAGAGCGAGTGCGTAGGGTCAAATTTTGTTGTTCATTACGTAAGAAATCTGCCATGTGGGCGCGCCACATACCCCATGGCCATACAACCAGTGTAGGACGCGCGCTGCTAAGCT